TATACTCCACGGAGAAGTTATACTCCGCGAAGAAAGACAGCCACCTCGCCATTCTTTGCGAGAGGTGTGGGCTGTTTACGGCCGTGCGTAATGACGCATGGTCCGTGTAGACTACAAACGGTCTATCTCCCAAGAGATAGACGCGAAATTTAGCCAGTGCGTATTTCATGGCAAGGAGTTCCTTGTCATGCACTGGGTAATTACGCTCAGCTGCTTGCAGCTGACGCGATTGATAACAGATGACGCGCTCCGCGCCATCTGCATCGAACTGCATTAACGCACAGCCGATTGCGAAATCACTGGCGTCACAGACCACATGAAATGGTCTGTCCTGATCTGCAATCGCCAAGATCGGCGATTGCATCAAGCTTTGCTTGATACCTTCAAAGGAACGCTGGCACTCAGCGTTCCATGACCACTTGACATTTTTCTTGAGCAAGCAAGAAAGATGTACCGTCATCTCGGCGTAGTTGCGCGAGTACTTGTGCAAGTACGCCGCAAGACCAAGGAACTTTCGAAGTCCCTTGACATCGACTGGCACTGGCCAGTCGGTGATCGCCTTGATCTTTTCGGGATCAGGGCGTACGCCGTGTTTCCCCACGATGCACCCAAGAAGTGGTATTTCGCTAGCCGCGAATATACACTTCTTGAGGTTGGCGTACAACTTATGCTTGCGCATAAGTTGAAGAACCTGACGAACGTGAGTTCTGTGAACTTCAACGTCCGTCTTCCCGTCCATAGCCCGGCTATGGACGAACACATCGTCGAAGTAACTCGGTGCGAAGTCTCGCACCGGTCTCAACAGATTTGTTACACATCTGTTGAATGTTGCAGGGGCATTACTCAGCCCCTGTGGCATCACTAGCCACTCCCACAGCATCCCGCTGGGGGTACTCACTGCTGTGAACGGGACGTCCCGTTCACGCATCAGGATCTGATAGAATCCATCCATCAGATCCATGGACGAAAAGATGGTACTCTTTGACATACCATCTATGATTACGTCCTTCCTCGGTATCGGCGTCTGAGCCGGTACCGTTGCAGCATTCAACTTGTTGAATGCGTGCACTATCCGCCACCCTCCTGTGGCCTTTCGCACACAGAAGGTCGGAGAGCTGTGAGGGGATGTTGATTCCCTCACATGGCCCGCTGCTAAGCGATCGGCAAAGAACTTGTCGATCGCTATCACTTGTTCACGAGGCAGTGGCCACTGCTTCATGACACAGTATTTCGAGCCCGGTTTGAGCTCGATCTCGTGTCGAGTGCCTTTGTCCTTAGGCAACTCGCAAGGTACGGATTCAGGGAACACATCCCTGAATTCGATCAAATCCTTATACAAAGGATTTGCCTGAAGTGACTCCCAGGATTGGGACGCGTATCGCTCAATCCGAGTCTTCTCATCGAGGACACTTTCGTCCATCGATGAGCTGCTGAGAACCCGTTCGTTCTCAGCAAATACTGTTGCCGACCGAATGTCGGTCACATACTCGTCCTCTGTGACGAGTACGCAGATCTGCTTGACTTTGCCACTACGCAGATCACGCAAGAACCGTTTCGGTTCTAGCGTTGGCAACTGAGTTATCTCCGAAGTCAACTTCGGAGGCACAATCAGATCAAGCGTATAAGCGCCTACGCTTGATCCGTCATTAACCAAGACGTTCAACGTCTCGGTTTCTTCCTGGGATCTTGCTTCCACAGGTTGCTGAGGGCCTGATCCCTCAGCAAGCAACTCTTGAGGAACTCCTTCCTCAAGTACGTGGGGACTTATTCCCTCGACGTCTTCCGACTGTGGCTGTGCAACCACAGTCAGGAACCGATCCTCTACGGTCGACTCTCCAGTCGACCTAGGATTTTCATGTTGCCCCTTGGGGGCAACAGATTTCTTTCTTCTAAGATGCTGCCCGCTAGGCATGCATCCATGTCCCGGTCCACTCGACTTATTCGAGTGGTGGACCTTCGGCGCAGCCTGTACTTCTGTACAGCCGCCGGGAGCTTGCTCCACAGTGTAGTGATCAACTACACTGTGACCTTGTGCAGTCGTGCTAACGACCGTACCGCAAGTGAGGCCATCGCACTCACTCGCAGAACATCCACACGCTTGTGGACGCTCCAAGATGTTCATCAGATGGCCATCTGATGAACAAGCAGCAGGCATCTTCACGGATCGATGCTGCCAGCTCACCCTTGGCTCGTATTTTCTGAGCCAAGGTAATCCCAGGATGACATCAAATTTGTCATCCAGATCTAGTACGATGAAGTCATCATCGTACTGCTCGCCCTCTAACGTGTAGTGGATTCCTACTACACGTTTCTCAACGGTTATCGATGCGCCTGTTGCAAGGCGCACCGTCATCCTTGTGAGGGGGAATGTCGCGCTCAACGAACTTGAGCCTACGACCCTCTAGTGACTGGCGACGAACAAAGTTGTTCGACGCCCCACAGTCTACTAGGGCACGAAGCGACAAGTCATTTGTCGCTTCCAACTTCAAGGTGATGAGCGAAACGTCATCACCAGGTGCAGAGACACACAATGATTGTGTATCTGGAGCAACTTTCGTCAAGAGGTTTGCAAATTCTCTTGAGGTTGCTGGATCAGTAGGGCGCTCCGCCCCTACTGACCCCGACCATTTTTTGATGGCCCGTCTCGCTGTTGCGGCTTCGCAACAGCGCTGGACCCACGCCCATTGCCCTTTCTGGCGAATGGTCGTCCATTTCGCTCGGTACTGTTTGGTACTGGGCGCGGAGCACTACACTCGTATGCGTAGTGCCCTAGCTTCTGACAGCGATTGCACCTCTGCAATCGCTTGTTGCTTGTAGAGCGAGGTCTCTCGCTCTCAACATAACAGAGGTCCATTGGTTCTGGACCTCCGATCTCTTGTCGTCTCGGTGGACGGTAAGAGTTTGAGCTAGCATGAGCCTGTCTCATGCTAAAGTCTTCCTGTTCCGCGGCTGATATCGCTTCTTCAAGCGTATTCAGCTCAAGGCGGAACAGGTGGCTCCTGACGGGCCCTTCTGCGAGCCCTTGCATGAACACCGTAATCAACGTGTGTTCATGAACTGGGTTTGCAGTTATACTACTCGCAAGGAGTCGTATATGTTGTGCGTAAGCGTGCACATCACGCTTACCCTGCTTGAGTTTCAGGAGCTCTGAACGAGCCCTGAACTCAGCACGTGGCGGCTCAAACGTTTGTCTGAGCCGGGACTTGAAGTCATCTAGCGACCTAAACACATTTGGGTCGCTACTCTCGAGTCCCAGGGACCAAGTTTTGGCACGCCCTGCCAAGTGGGTCTGAGCAAATGTGAGTTTCATTTGCTCATCTTCGACGCGACGAGCCCTTAGGGCTCTGTCGAGTTCGACAAACCATAGTAACAGGGAGTCCTCCGGGACTCCACTGTACTTGGAGATGTCGACTTTCATCACTTCGGGACGACGCGCATGCGCCGTCCCGCCCACAGCAGCATGGAATTGCTGCTGTCTCAACAGCTCCGTCTGTTGAGCACCGAGTTCTCTCAACTGCTCGGCCTGTTGAGAGCCTTGCTGGTGAAGCAAGGCTACTTTCTCCCTCTCGAGAGCAAGTTCATTGTGAATGAACTTGGCGATAGCAGAATGTTGTTGGTCTCTGTCTAGAGACTCCAACATGGTGCTGACGACGAGTTCGCCTACGGTAGAACTCATTCGTTCTACCGCACCCCATTCGATGTCACTCAAATGGGTAAACCCTTCACGCGTGGCGTGAAAGGTGTCTTCTTCATCCAACATGTTCATGTTGGATGATGTGGTCCTTGGAAGGACTACAAAGTGCTACCAGGTGTAACGGGGCACACCCTTGCGTAACTTAACGCAAGGGATTTGGGTGCCCCGACGGACGTACACGTGGCGAGCGAGGAAGCGTAGGTAGGGTAAAAGTAGAACTGTTATATTAATAAATTAAGTCTTTAAACTACTGTCTCTTCGTTTGACTTAATTCAATTATACTAATATAACTGCATGTATGGTGACGTCTCGTCACCACTCATTGCGCGCGTCTTGCGGCGATTGGTGGGTTGATATCATCACGATATCAACCAATGAACAGACCCTTTGGTCGACCCTTCAATATCACCACTTTGGTGATATTGTTTAAAGAATATCCATCTTATATTCTTTATTGTCACTTTCCTTAAGTGACAATATCATGTAACGGGCTGCCCCGTTACAATAATTATACATGACTTTGATAACCGCAACGCATCCAAATGTACCATCCGTCATCGAGACTCGTTTCGGAGCAACGATAGCGGTCAACGATACGATACCACATGTCCAAATTGTCGTGTATGCTGAGCAAGTTTATAGTCATACGCATCCACAAAAACATGCAGTGCGCTCGGAAGGTCGCGGACTATTCGTTGGATAAGGAAATGACGAGAGCTGAAGTGCGCTCGAGTTGTTCAGAGCTGTAGTGCCTTGAGGAGACAACAACGTGTGACTCCACGCAGCCCTATAGGCGGACAAGGAGCCGGAATCCGTTTGCAACGATGAGATCGACGCGATTTCAAGAATGCCCAGGGTACTGCTTCATCTGCGATAATGACCTCTGGCGCCAAAAGCAAATGCTTGCAAATAGTCGTTCCTCAACTGACGAGGAGTCGGACGAGCTGTAGTTGAGAATGCGAAGTGTGATAGCGCAGGATCAAAGTGTGATAGCGCAGGGTTCGTACTGGATATCTCACCGATGATGGGGTGACTGAGTAATGTGTCGTGATCGTGATAATGAGAACTATTCACCTTCTACAGTGGGAGTGCGTGCACCCCGGCGTCGTGAGCAATTCGATCACTCAAGCACACGAACAAGATTGACGGTACTCAACGTAGCAAAAAACATATGACGTTATTGCTCCATGTATGCCGCCTGGAATGACGATATGACCAGCAAAGCTGCTCAACCTGACACAAGTCAACAACTGCTGCGTTAGTGGCCGCCTCAATTTTCCTCAGTGCCTAAAACGCTTGCCTGGATTCACTTGAACGTATTGAAGTCGCGAACTTCGTTCACGATTTCTAGAGCACGCTGCAGTAGCGTCCGCATCTCATCACAGTTGGAGCGTCGCACCGCAATGTCGCCTGTCTCCGCCAGGAGCTCGTACAACTTGTCCTCGCGGTACAGGGACGAAACCAACTCGTTCTGAATGTTCTCCTTCGAGCGTCCCACCATGAAGCACATGATGGCTTTCGGCACCAAGTCCAGAAAGTTTTTCCGCACAATGTCAAAGTAAGACGCGAGCAGACTTTTGATGATTTCCGTCTCAATGCGTTCCCGGTCAGTGGGGTCGTCGCCTTGTCGCATGCTCACTGGTACCTGAGGAAGCTTCACAACCGCCGGCTTCGAGCTCACTTGCGTCTCTGCACTACTTTTCTTGCGGCCACTTCCAAACAACGACGGGAGACCAGTTCCATCCTGCTTCTCCTCTACTGCAGGCGCAGAAGCTGCGTTCTGCTTTGATGCCTGTCCTGGACGCCGCGGGTCCTGATTTGCCATGCTGTTGTTGGTCGGTGCCCCAGCTGATGCCATTGTTTCACGCTGCATTTTTTCCATCAATTGGGCCACTGCACGGCTGCCACCAATAAAGTCAGGGTGGTTTGTGTTCACGTAAGCCAGCTCGATCTGGATGAGGTTCTGAATCATCGCTTGCGTCGGAACCAACGACGCTCGCAACATGCCGTTCACGACTTCCATAACGCGGTCACGCAGTTCAGGGAAGCGCGACAGCTCGATTGTCTCACACTGTGACGTCACACGCTGCAGCTCGTCAAACACAAGGTCCACACACTGCAAGCCAGGTTGCTCCAAACGGCTGATCTGACGCTTCGCCAGCAGCTCAAACGAAACTTCAGGAACGAACAGCGCCTGGCGCGGGCCGTTGGCGTTGCGAATGGTAGTACGTATGTCCTCGTCACTCAGTCCGTCAAAAGGATTCACTTCTCGTAGAGACTTGGAAAAGATCTCGTTGAAAATGTAACTGATGCGCGCGCCGCCGTACAGCTCGTCCATTTCCACGAGCTGGTGGTTGCGTCCGTCCAGGGAGTTCGTAAAATTGCTCGAAAAGTGCGACAGCAGATTCAGCAAACAGCCGCCCATTTCAGTAGCCGTCATCTGCTCCGTGGGGGACCCCATCTCACCAAGCTCCTGATCCAGATCAGTGACCATGCTGGTAATCTTCGATTTGATGTCCGGAAGGCAGTCTCGAATGTGATGCATCAAGATCGTATTCAGCGTCTTGGACAAATACTGCGTGCCCATTCTCGACGCGATGGCTCGGTACGCCGGGTGCGTCTTGAAAAACTTCTGCTCTTTCGACAACGAGTCACGAATCGAGAGCTGGGAGTTGATGTCCGCTTGACTGCGATTCACTACGCCCACGTACCCTCTCTTGAGCGGAATCACACGTCCCTGTAGCATGTCCATGGCATCGGTACCATCATCCATCAGGTCTAGTTTCGTGAGCACGCCAATGGTGCGTTGTCCGTCCGGGTCAATCTCCCGCGCCATCTTGAGCGCGTCACTGTTGGCCAAGTCCGTATTCGCCGACGTGACAGCCAGAATGATCGAGTTGGGGTTCGAAATGAACGCTGTGCACATGTCTCGGATCTGCTCTTCAATGTCCACGGGTTGGTCGCCCACCGGCACTTTCGTGATCCCCGGCAGGTCCACGAGCGTGAGGTTCAGCACATGCGGAGAAAAGACCTTAAGGTTGATGCTCTTGTTGCTAATGCCCTTGTTCGTGCCCGTGATGCGGTCCGTTTCCTTCTCAATCTCTTGACGGATCTCGTGAAAGTCCGTAAACTTGCGCCCGGGGACGTGCAGAAACTCGCCCCACTCCTCGGCCCCCTCAGCAGCCGCTCCCTCTTCCTCCTCCTCCTGCCCGCCACTTGTTGACGAGTTGTAAAGCTGCAAAATGAGAGGGCGACGCGTCACGATGCCCGAGCCACGCGGCAAAAAGTCTTTGCCCACAATGTTCTCCAGAACGGACGACTTGCCGCTGCTCTGGCTGCCAATGACGACGATCTGCGGCAAGTTGATCGGAGACTGCCCAATGGCACTGAACACGTCCTGCAGCTTGTTGATGATGGGAATCAATTGGTCCATGGCGCCCCTAGAAGTGCTACTGCTGCTGCTGCTGCGACTGCTGCTGCTCAATTTGATGCGCGCGTGCCCTTTTCTCCCTCTTGCGTGGAGTGGAATTTCTAAGAAGAATGGATTGATTTCTAAATGGGCCCAGCGACGTCACTAAAAAGAGGAGGACTTGGGTCGTGTGGACATGGTGTGGCGGAGTGGGTCGTGTGGACGTGGTGTGGCGCAGTGTCACTTCCGCGGGGGACCCACGCGCCAACGCAATGCCAATCAATCAGCCATGGCCGATGACGAGAGCGAACCGCAAGCGCGCGACCTGCACTTGCTATGCGTGCACCGCGATACGCTTCGCTGCGCCCTCCAGCGCTGCGTCGCCTGCTGCTACAAGATCGTGCTGCACAGCCGCCCTGGCTCGCTGCCAAACGTGCGTCCCGAGATGTGTCCGCGCATGGGACCGAAGACGACGACTGACGCTGCCGCAAAGGACCGAAACGTTCCAGCGCCGCCGTCAGCGCAAGCTGAAAAACACTGCATCGGTCTGTACGATGCGTCGAAGTTAAGACGGATCTTGACAGTGGGAGACGGCAACTTTTCGTACTCGTTGGCGCTCGCCAGAGCACTGGGTGTCGACTCTGGCGTGGAGTTTGTCGCTACGTCGCACGAGAGCAGGACGTCGATAGTCGAGACGTACCCGGAAGGGGAAACGATACTTGCTGAGCTTTCTGCAATGTCTCATGTGACGGTGAAGCACGAAGTCGATGCAACGGACGCTGAGCAACTGAAAGCATTGGGCCAGTTTGACCGCGTCATTTGGAACTTCCCGTGCGTCCGGGCACTGGACGGAAAAGACGGACAGAACGACGAGATGGAAAGTAACAAGAAGCTGTTGCACGATTTCTTTAGTCACGTGGGTCACGTGCTGACGGCTACTGGGGAAGTACATGTCACGCACAAAACGAAGGCACCTTTCGGTCAATGGGGCATCGAGAACATTGCCAAGACCAATCACCTTTGCCACAAGCGGTCCATAATCTTTGATCGGTGCTTGTACCCGGGATACACGAACAAGAAGGTACTCTCAAAAGGCTCGTTCCCCATCTGGGATTCGCAGACGTTTGTTTTCGTGCCTGGAGGACAAGCGCGGCTTCCAGATGAAGACGAGGGGGCAGCCGTGCCTGACGATGACGGGTGCCGTGATACGATTGAGCCAGTTACCGCAGATATCCTTGAGAAGGTATACTTGCTGCTGACGCCCTCGCTAGACGATATGCTAGGTTCTAAGAAGAAGAAAAAGCGGAAGGGATTTAGTGGCAGCACGGGCGCCGCGAGCATTAGCAACTACAAGGACGCCAGCAATCGCCACAGGGACAACAACAATCAAAAGCGTAAGCAACACGCTCCCAATCGCTCAAAGGGAAGCAAGCAGTCAGGCACGAAAAAAAGTCGCAAGTCGTGATGTGTTCGTGATAAGCTTCAACGCAACAATAGAAGTCATCTGCTAGCTCATCTTGCCCGTCGGCATGCTCTGTCCTCTTATTCACTTCCTCCTTCATCACTAGATCGAGGTCTCTTTGTACCGTCGATACTGATGCTGAATCTTCGTGGCCGCACGCTCTAGCGTATGAACTCCAATCAAAACAAAAACTCGATCGCTCTTCATAAGTTTGAGATCAGCTTTCGGAGTCGTAATGACGATGGGCAGTTCAACATGACCCGACAATCCAATCGTTTGTGTTGACAGGCGGTAAATACCGATGCAAATACCTGAATACGATGACACGGCGAACGAGCGGAAGACGTCGGAGTATGTGCACTCTTCCTACAACAACAGACAACCGACATGTTGTAAGCATACTAGCGATATCTCAAAACACGGCGAAGGTACATAGCGTACCCGAAGTAGATGCGGGATCGAAAAGGTGTGAATCACACCGGTGCAGCGGGGGCCCCCGACCAGTTGACGAATAATCTTGTGGATTGACGGGTTGAAGTACGTCTGTACAACAATGTTTTCGCATAGCTGTGGGTGCAGGACCCGACCCGACATATACAAAGGAAGGCCGAAAATCTCCTTCTTCGACATCTGCCCTGATACGTCATGCTGCAGAATGTTATTCCACAACTTGAACAGCTCTGTACCAGAAACATCCACTGCAACTCCGCGCCTTATGTTGTTGCCAGTCGACGTCACCGTCTGTACCTTCTTAGACTGAAACGACGTACCCATAAACTTTGAGTTGGCTTCGTCGGCAAGCTCGGTGATAGTGAAAATTTTCGAAAGGTCCATCTTGAGTTCCACCAACATCGTCGCAAAAATCGCCTCCGCATCATTCATACTGGACTCCAGCTCAGCGTCAGAGACGGATGCAGACAAACTTGCCCTTTCTGACCGTTTCCCAAGTACCATGACCGCAGCTGCTGCCTTGGCACCAGCGCGCTGCAAGTCTGAATAAACAATGGGGCTTCCGCGTACGTAAAACTGCGTACAAACATCAGTCAAGTTAGCAGCGACCACTGCCACGCACAACACGAGCACATACCACATTCTCAAAGGCGAGCAACATGCTCGTCAACAGGTCCGACGGCTCTGCAGTATCTAAAATCGTGACCGGAGGATGACCGCTGGCGTACGGGCTGCGGAGAGGCCTAATGAGCCATTGGAGAGTTTCCGCTGATTCTTTACCCAGAAAGCTGCAGATGACGATGTGCTCGGGATGCAACAGGATAGCAAGAGGTGGAGCACTAAGCCTCTCGTGTGGTGCCACAAATGACGCATTTTCATTCACGCCACCGTGTGAACAGGCGTAAGCTTGTAGGGTTTCGTAAGGATTGTCACTGGCAATCGTTCGGTTTGCATTTTTGATCCTCAGAATAGTTGTCTCCAGTGAACGGTCCTGCGTTGCACAAGCATTCAGAAGAGAGTTAGACAACCGAAGTGCAGCTACACCAAAGTAGAATGATCTTCGCACCAGAACAAGCAATCCAGTTCTCGAGGTTGACACCTACCAAAAAAAGTAAACATTAGGTCACGATGTCGCTAGGAACCGTCAGGGAGGTGGATAATAACGTACTGGGCTGTGGTGCTTCATGGACGCATAGTTCGGAGTCGTGTATGCCGTGTAAGCATTCACACTTTTTAGCTCGTCGCAAAAGATGTCTCCTTCGGGGCCAGGAGAAAGCATCGGCTGAAACATATCCCCAGCCGGGTTCACGGACGTCGAAGAGTCGACTGGTCGCCGCATCTCTTCTAGACTGACCTCATCCACGCAAACCTTGTGGTGAAAAACGTGGTCCATGTCGTCGGCGATGCAATAACACTGAATCAACTCGGTCAAAAGCAGACTGTTGCCAGGATTCAACAGCACACGAGACTCGGAGCTGCTGTGGAACAATGCGTCCTCCTCGGAAAACTCGACCTCCACACCGATGAGCACCACCGTACCTAGCGTTTCTTCGAAAATTCGAGTTGCCCCTTCAGAAAAGGTCAGTCCTGCGTACTTCTGTCACCAGAAACGCCACAAAGAAAACAAGCTGTCAGCAGAAGATTACAAAAACATACAACAACCTCAGTCATGCACTCACACACCTTTGACAAACGGATTAAGTACATTTCTTTTGCTGCACCGGCATAATATTCTCCCATCCAGCTGCGCCCAGACGAATCCATTTCAACGACACCAGTTGCCAAGCTGTCGTAGCCATTCAGTTCACCGCTCGCAACAACAGAGGGCAGAGAAGATTCTTTGCTTATGTCAACAGAAAAGCTTGATCCCAAATTCGCCAGCATCGTAGAAACGCCATTCGAGACGGTGCTTTGAGCGATCAAGCCCATCTTGACAACGTTTTCGCATATGATGTCGTCTGGGTGTACACCCGCAGCTAGCACGTGCCGGCCACTCTCCCCACGAAGAACCATCACCAAAATGCGCACGGATGGCCTATTAGTAACACGAATGTTAGCTCGCGATGACTGCGGCAAACATAGTGATGCTATCGATAACGATACTCACCCAACATAACGTCTAGTTGCTAGAACGCGCATTATGTTCCTCGCGTCTTCGTTTGCGGCGTCACTCGCCAGTTTATCCGGAAACACAAACACTGCTATGGCATCGCGAGCAAGGGACCGCTTTAGGTCTTCTATGCGGGTAGCGTCACCAGCGACGTATGTTACACGCGATGTGTAGATGGGGTCAGCTTTCAGCTTCGCAATAAGCGGCTTCACGAAGCGGGCCTTGCGCTCCCCTAGGATAACAGCACCGAGTCGCCGTGTATCAGTATCGCTCAAATGGTCAGCATGGAAAAGCTCTTGGAGAATAGCCGAGAGCTGGGCATACGATGGGTTGCCAATTATAAGCACATGGATGGCGTCAGGCTTCGCAACATAGGGCGGGTTCCCGATCCGACGCAAGTTGTACAAGCTAGTGAGGTTGTCAATTTCCATCGAAAACAAGATGATTCCCATGACGATAAACATGATAGCCAACAGTCTGCTGGGTACTGTTTGAGGCGCGTTGTCGCCATAGCCGACGGTACCAAGCGTCTGCAAGAATTGTTACGATCGTTAGCGAAAGACTTAACAAACAAGCTAGTGCAACACGATGACAATTTCAGACCACGTACCACCACCGTAAAGTAAAAGGCAAACATGACCGACCACGATGACTCCGAGCACTCCGCTGACTCGTGCCTCGTGACCGACCCATCACTGCAGCTATACAAATGCGCAAACCCATTGTCGGTAAAAAATGGTAGTTCGCCGAGCGTCTCTAGGAAAAACATGATTGACGCGCCGACCATGATCATGAGCATCATCTTGATCCCGAGTCTGACCATCATCCAGCCCTTCGTCGATCGGGGCACATGTTTCTCCATCTCCAAGTAGCTCCTCAGTATAAACACAGGCCGCATGACCGAGAAGTCTAGATACGTCCGTGTCGGCACACCCCCAATAACCTTTACCGAGCCAAAGCCCACGTCAAAGTTGGACGCCAGGCATAGCAGCTCCAGTAGCGTGACGGGCGAGAAGCAAAAGGTGAGCTTGTACCTGGACGCGAGGAATCGCACGACGTCATCCACAACAGCCACCGCGTAGAGTCCTAGCACCGTGTAGTACGACCACTCCGTGACGTCGTACGAGTCAAGTCTGGACATTGTGAGGCCCAAAATGGCGCACGACACGAGCAACTGGACAGGTCGATTCTGCGCTTTCCACAGCAAAACAAAGAGGTCACTCAGTGGCCACAACATGAGCTGCCACTATACACACACAATGTAATTCCTCACAATGATAGCGGCCGTGCGGGACGTGCGCGCCCATCGGCGGCACTTGAGCGAGAAACCGATTTCGCCCTTCCGCAGCGATTTGCGCTGGCGTTTCGACGCGAGTGTCCACAGCAGAGAGAACAGCACGAGCACTGCCAGTAGATAGACGGCGTACAGCACTTGCTCCTGCGTGTGCGCCCAGTGGGCGACGCAGCGCGGTGTGCTCGTCGTGGCGTTTTTTACATCGTTCTGGTTGGCGCAAATCATGTGGGAAGTTGACGAGTGACGTACTTGTGCTGCTGCGTGCATCGGTACTGTCTTTGCGACCACAAGGCAAACGACGTCTGTTCCGACGTGGTCGGTGTACCGCAGCGATTACCGAAAATGGTAGTACCGAGATTACTTTCCGAATTGATAAAGAGCAATTATTATATGAGAGGGTCGCAGCGCTCGAGATAGTTTACGGATCCTTGCGAAAAGTGGCGCGCTCGATGCAAAAAACACGTAGTGCAACGGGCAAACTTGCTACATGATATCGTCATACATAAGATTTGGTTACAAACATACAACACTTTTCATTGGTTGATCTAGAAAAAATGATCTTAACACACCAACGCTGCTTGACGCGCGCAATCAGGAGGGAGAAGACATCACATTGTATGTTTTCATATTGACATAATAAAGTTAGGACTAATTAACAAAGAGGCGATTTAGGGCTTAATTGTACTTCATTTACTTTTACTGCTACTAACCATAATCGTTTCAGTAGTTGCCTTCCTCTGTAACGTGTAAGTAAGGTGAAAGGGCACTGATTATCGCTGATTTTAGTGAGCGTTGTTCCGTACTGCTATCAGTACGCTCCTGCTATATCCCGTTACATGTAGGTGATTGGCACACGTGCTTGAGTATCTCCTCTTGTTTTTAAGAAAAGACTGATTCGTTTTTGTTTGTGTGCGTGTGTGGTCGCCAGAATTGAGCAATGGGTCCGAAGACGTGATATTGCCATTTATATGTGGGTCATTTCTTGTACTTTGTGTGCATGAGCCACCGCATATTTGTCCCTGAAAAAGCTACGTTATCTCCGCGCAATGCATATTGTCTTCTGTGTGACGTAGTACGATTTGAGAATACACGAGAAACTCATTCGCGACATATTACCATACATAATTATGTAAAATACTGTAAGATTGTGCTTCACGTAACGGCGAGGCTTATATGTGGGCATCGCTGGTGGTGAAATAGATATATAAAGCATTTAGCTACTCCTCATTTCAAGTCCTCATTTTTAGAAGCGCAAGTTGCAATTGTATCGACTCCTTAGAATCAATCTACGTTATGTCATTTATGGAATGTTCTATTGGCTTCTTTTTATTGTATTATGCACCAAAAATGTATAGGTTGGGTAGTCATTAGAAGCTGGAAGACTCAACTTTGTTGAGCGAGAAATTCCTCCAACGTAGATGACGGTTCACCTATCGATGGGCGCATCAATTTTCGTAGAGAAACGAGTAGTCGGAATTCACTTCACGTTAGAAAACGAACAGTACGATGATGATTTCATTGTACTGGATCTGGATGACAAGATTGACGTCATCCTAAGATGGTCTTGGATAAGAAGAAGGTACTAGCAAAGTGTGAGCTGGCAGCATCGATCCATCAAGATTCCTGCCGCTTGTTCATCAAATGGCCATCTGGTGGACGTCTTGTAACGCTCACAAGCGTTTGGGTGTACTAAGAGTGAGTGCGATGGCCTCACTTGTGGTACGGTCGTTAGTACGGCCGTACAAGATCGCAGTGTAGTTGATCACTGCACTGTAGAGAAAGCCCCCGGCGACTAAGAAAGTGTCCATTTGACGCCGAAGCTTCACCGCTCGAAGAAGTCGAGTGGACCGGGGCATGGATGCATGCCAGGTAGGCATCATTTAGGAGAGAAGATACCGGTTGCCGAGATACGGCAACAAGGTGATCCTAGGTAGACTATACAGTCGACCGTAGACGATGGTTGCCTGACAGTGGTTGCGCAACCATAGTCAGAAGACGTAGAGGAAAAGATTCACCACGTACTAAACAAAGTAATTTCTCAAGCGGTATTTGCTGGGGGAAGATCCCACGTCAATCTGTGGATGTCATTTCTTAGGAAGCGATTGAGACATTTAACGTCTTAGTCGATGACGGATGAAGCTTTAGCGGTGATACGCTTGATCTCTTTGCGCTTCCGAAGTTAACTTTGGAGATCAAAAAATTGCCAACGGTTCTTACGTGATCTGCTTAGTGGCAAAATCAAGCAGATCTGTGTACGCGTCGCAGAGGACGAGTACGTCACCGATATTCGTTCAGCAATGGTATTTGCTGAGAACTAACGGGTTTTCTGCGGCTAATCGATAGACAAAAGTGTCATCAATGAGAAGACTCGGGTTGATCGATACACGTCTCAATCCTGGGAGTCGCTCCAGGCAAACCCTTTGTATAAGTATTTGATTATATTCAAGGATGTGTTCCCTGAATCCTTAAGGTGGGAATTGCCTAAAACTAAAGGCACTTGACACGAAATAGAGCTTAAACCGGGCTCTAATCATTATGTTATGAAGCAGTGGCCACTGCCTCGCGAACAAGTACTAGCGATCGACAAGTTCTTTACTGATCGCTTGGATGAGGGTCATGTGAGGAAATCAACTTTATCTCACAGCTCTCCTTCCTTCTGTGTGAGAAAAGCCATAGAATGGAGGCGGATTGTGCATGCGTTCAACAAGTCGAATGGTGCAACGGTACCGGCTCAGACACTGATACCGAGGTAGGACATAATCACTGGTGGTATGTCAAAGATTTCCATCTTCTCGCCCTTAGATCTGATGGATGGATTCTATCAGATCCTCGGGCGTGAACGGAACATCCCGCACACGGCAGTAAGCACTTCCAGAGGTATGATGTGGAGGTGGCTAGTGATGCCACAGGGGCTGAGTAACTCCCCTGAAATGCTCAACAGGTGTATCACGAATCTGTTAAGATTGGTGCGGCATTTCGCACCGAGCTACTTCGACGATTTGTTCGTCCATATCCGGGCTATGGACGGAAAGACGGACATTGACGCTCACAGAACACACGTTCATCAGGTTCTTCGACTTATTCGCGAGCTTAAGTTGTACGCCGACCTCAAGAAGTGTATAATGCGGCCTGTGAAATACCACTTCTTGGATTCATCGTTGGTAAGCACGGTGTACTCCCTGATAAAAGATCAAGGTGATCACCGACTGGCCCGTACCAGTCGATGTCAAGGGACTTCGTAAGCTCCTTGGCCTAGCGGGGTACTTGCACAAATACTCGCGCGACTACGCCGAGATGGCCGCTCATCTTTCTTGTTCGCTCAAAAAAAATGTGAGTGGTCATGTAACGCTGACTGTCAGCGTTCCTACGAAAGTATTAAGCAGCGCTTGATGCAATCTTCCATATTGGCGATTGCAGACCAGGAAAGATCATTTCATGTGGTCTGTGACGCCAGCGATTACGCAATTGGCTGTGCGTTGATGAAGTAGGACACAGATAGCGTAGAGCGCGTCGTCTAATATCAATCGCGTCATTTACAACAAGCCGAACGCAACCATTCAGTGCTTTGCAAGGAACGACTTGCCATGCAATATGCTCTGGCTAAGATCCACGTTTATCTCCTAGACGAAAGACCATGTATAGCCGTGCATCTTCACGCTCGGCAGTAAACAGTCCACATCCCTCGCAGAGAATGGCGAGGTGGCTTTATTTCTTCGCGGAGTATAACATCTCCGTGAATTATAAATCAGGGCAAATAGACGTCGTTGCTGATTCTCTCTCGCGTCGGCCTGATGTCGAGACTACCGCGCCAGTCAACAGTGATGCCAAGCCCGCTGTTGCGACTTTATCAGTTAGTTTGTCAGCGTCGATGTTACTCGACGACGTGAGAAAGGCATACACAAGAGACAAGGATCTCCTGCGCTTGATGTATCACCTTACGGATTCATCTCGTAATTATTTGGAATATTTGAAGGCACTACACCGTTCCTCATTGAATCGGTATACGACTCACAACGGGTTGCTGTACTATACAGCCGTTGCCGACGACACGACTCGTGTCGTCGTTCCCGCCAGTGATGATTTGAGGTTGCGCATCATGCTTCATTGTCATTATGGGCCAACAGGTGGGCATCGCGGACGTGAAAAGACTTATATCACGGTTATCCGCGACTTTTACTGCCGCAACAGTATCAGTTCGTACGCAAGTCCATACGTTCTTGCGAGGTATGTCAGTGGGTGAAGCCTAGTTCTTCATCCCGCGCGCCATTATAACCTCTGCCGGTCCCGACATAGTGTTAGGAGTCCGTTTCAATGGACCGCGTCTTCGATCTTCCCGATGAAGATCGCAAGGATAATAATATTCTTGTGTTTTTGGATCGATTCAGCAAGATGGTACATCTTGCTGCAGTTTCCGAATAGATCACTGCACAGTGATGTGCGCGTATCTTCATTGACAAAGTGTTTAGGCTCCACGAGTTACCCTGTGAACTGGTCTCGGATCGAGGCCCTCGGTTCATGGCGAATTCTTGGCAATTTTTGTTTCGCACATTGAGAAAAAGTTTGGAGATGTCAACTTCTGATCATCATGAAAATGACGGTCAGACAAAACGTGCCAACCGCTTCTTTGGAGAAATTCTTCAAGGATACGCCTACTCATTTTCGAGCTGGAATGAATCCAACCGATGGTCGAATTTACAATCAACAACTCCTTACATGCGTCTACAACTCATACACCGCTTTACGTAAATGGCTTACGCCACCCACGTATGCCCGCCCTGATAAAGAGTGACTCTTGGCTGAGGGGGAGAGGTACGCGCTCAAACAAAAATCGTTTTGGATTTTACTCATCACGCGTTACCGCACACTTCGATATGTTTGATGCTGATGTCGACCATGTCGACATCGGAGAAGACGAGATTAGCAGTAGCGATGAAGCTACTGCTTCATCAGAAAGTTATGACGATGCTGGTATATTCAGCAGCATCAATGGCTATGCCAACGAGTACGATCACAATCGTACTGACGGAGAGAATCACCTCTTGGAAGTGCGCACCAGGGGCAATGGGCACCACAATAGCAGGTCAGTAGGAAGTTATCTGCTGATTCGTTATCCGTTTCGTTCAGGACTACATCGCCAACGTGGTGGACCGTCAGATCGGAACGCAGACAAGAATGAAAGAGCCAATATTTTTTTCATATAAGGTCCACAACCTATTACTACTGAC